CGTCTACCAGGTGCGCTCCACCCGCATCGACCGCGTCGGCCCCTGGCTGCCCTCCTCCTGGCTCGCCCGCGCCCTCCACACCGGCGCCGAGGTCTCGTTCACAGAGAGCGACGCCGTGGCCGTCCGCCCGGACGCAGGGCCGGGGGCCGGCGGCGCCGCGCGCGGCGACGGCGTAGAGCGCACGCTGGCGCGCACGCTGCGGCTGCGGCGCGCGCGGTGGCTGCCGGGGGCGGAGTGGCGCGTCGTGGATATTGTCGACGCCGCATAAGGGGGGTGCGGGCGCGGGGCGGGGCGGGGGTGTGCCGGCGCGCTCAGGGGGCGGCTGCGGGGCGCTCGGGGCGCGGCTGGGAAGGCAGATGCCTGCCGGCGGGGCCGGGCTGTGTTTGTGCGGGCTGTCGTGCGTGGCAGGCCCAGCGGCAGGGCTTGTGGCATCGCGGCTCGTGCGGTGGGGTATTCACAGTTGGACGTAGCATGCAAGCTCAGGTACTTCTAGGGCAATAGGGTCACCTCACTTGCGACGTGTGTGTGTGGGGGGGAGGTGTCATGTGTTTGTGAGGCTGCTTGTATCCCAAAGCCGTGCTGCGGTTGCTGGATTTTTCCACTCTTGCTTGCCAGTGACAAAACGGTCCCCCCTGCATGTGAGACCGATGAACAGTGCGGGCGTGTGCGGCCGACGAGCGTTAGTGTTGCTTTGACCGTATTGGCATAGTTGCGTCATCCGTCCGCCCAGTGTGGCTGGGGCCATTGAAAGCACGTCTCAAGAGCGACCGCATACTCGTCACCCAGCTGCAGTAACCCGCACATCTGTTGCACATGCATGGAGGGGAGGGCGGGGCGGCGACGATCCGCTGGCAGGCGGCCGAAACGCATCCACGCAGCCAGCAAAATACAGTGCTGCGGGGGCGTGTGCAGAGTTTAGCCGCAGATCAGGAGTCACGGCCATCATTCATGTCTAGGCTGTCACACTAGCTGTCACTGGGGCGGGCCAAGCAGCAGGGCGCGGGCGCGCCGTGATGGCCGTAGCGGGGCGCTGGCTGGTGCCGGCTTACTCACGACCGCACACGGCATGATGGAAGTGAACGGAAGTGGGGCGCGGCGGGGTTTCCCAACCCCAAGCCTGCGGGCATCCTGACTTCTTGCGCCGCCGGCGGCAGCCACAACAAAACTCAACACAGCATCCAGTGCGCTTGGTTGCAGCAGCGTTGGGCTCGCGGGCGCGGCGAAGCTGGCAGGCACCTGAGGTAGTCGCGGCGGGCGGTTGCGCTGTACTTGGCCTTTCCCCCGCGTGGCCTCACCTATCACGCTGAAAGATCTGTGTGCGAACTTCAATCTCGCAACTCAATCAACGTCGCTCACCCGAAGCCCCCCGTCAGACCGCCACAACCGGCCAAGATGCGCGCTACTCGGGCCTCCCTTGTGGTGGCAATGCTGATCTTGGCGTTGGTTGCGACTGCTTCGGCCTCGGTGAGCGCCACGTGCAAAGCCGCGAATCGCAAGCCTGTCGGGAACGTCCTGGTAGCTGCGTGGCCGCCATGACCCAAACCGACGATCACGCGCTGCTTCCCTTGTGATCCTGCGCATGCGTGCGGGACTCTCCTGCCTTAAACAGTGTGAAACCACGCAACAATCAGCCGCCTTCGCCGCAGCCAGAGCTGGCAGCCCCCCATGAGTGACGCACACGCGCTGAACTGCGCCACCACTTCCCGCAGGCCGCGCCGCGCAAGCTGCTCCAGTACGGCGGCTACAACACATATGGCGGCCGCAACGGTTACGGCAGCGGATACAACGGCTACGGCAGCGGATACAACGGCTACAACGGCTATGGCGGGAACGGCGGCTTTGGCACCTCCGTGTTCACGCCCTTCACCCAGGTGTACTCAAGGCCGGGCGCGACCGCCGTCCAGGTGGGCTTTCTGATATCTTGATATGATCAACGTGATGCTGCTTCAGTTCTCCAACCGATTATGGCGCCGCAGTCGCGCGAGCTCACAGCCAAGGGGCTCGACTCGCCGCGTGCGGGGGCCTCCAAAATCGGGGGGCTGGCGTGCGTGCGCCCTCGCGTCGTGCCTAAGCCTTCGCCCTGCCGCCCAATTGGTATCGTAGGTTCCGGGCATTGTGAACGTGGCGTCGAACAGCCGCGGCGGCGGCGTCTGGACTCCCTGGACGGGCGTGATCAGCTGGGGGGGCAGGAAGTGAAGGGGTGGCTGCCCTGAGCGCCGCAGCCTCGCGCGGCGGCCCAGCCGTGCTTTGAGAGGGTAGCGGCAGGGCTGGGAGCGCTGCCGAGGTTGATTAGGCGGAGCCAATTGTGACAGAACAGCAGAGGACAGGCCGGGTCCATCGGTGGCCTGGTGGATTCTGTTGCATGTTCCGGCTGTGTCGGAAGCGGTGACGCGTCGCAAAGCAGCAGTGTTCACGGCTCGCATCCAGCTGTGCCGTCGCAGGATGCAAGCCACGGGCTGCCTGCATCGTCATTGCTGACGTCCCTGGCTGTCAGGGAGATATTCGGCGTTTAATGGTGCCGCCACAGCGCGCCACACTCTTCCTCGCACTCATGACCGCTGCTCCTGCGCATCTCGGCGGCGCTAAATTGGCGTAGCTTTCCAGAGGTATTCTCCCCTGAAAGCCGCTGTTCGCTGCCGGGACAAGATCATTTGTAAGCTTGACTTCTTCAGGACAGGCTCGGTGTGTCGTAGGCATCAATCAGGGATGTGGGGCTCGCGTGCACGGGGTGAGGCACCCCAGCCAGCAGTGTGCATTGTATTTGTTAATGTGCTTTTGAACCCAGCTGCATTCATGTCTGCTGAATGACCCAGATCGCTTCGGGAACAATTTGAAACCGCGGCTGCAGCCCGGGCCACCGCCACATGCAGTTGGGTGTCACACCCAATCGTAAACCGCCATGACGCCGCCGCCAGCATGTTTGACCGTGGGGGGCAGCACGGCATCAGCAGCCACCTGGTTGCTGCAGTGAACGCCGATCGCGTGCTGCTGCGTCACTTGTTTCTGGTAGGACAGGGTCGCCGAGCTGGCCCAGAGCCCGCTGCCCCCCACTCCTGCTGCGCGGTGGCGCTGAACGTGGCCGTAGCTGACGCTCACGACTACGCTGCCGTCCGCTGCCCTGCCTTCCAGCTGGCCATGCTTTCAGCCGGTGCGAGCGATTATTCTCACATTATAATTCTTTGAAACCTTGATACTTTACTTCAACCCTCCGATCACCTCGTCTGACAAGATGGCCGTGCTTCGCGCCTTCGCCATGATGGCGCTGATCGTGGTGGCTTCCGCCGCCCCCATGGTGAGATTTGGATCGTATAACGAAATTTCGTGCTCCTTGTCGGTCGCATTTGCAGCGAGATATGCTGCCAGTGCCGCACACAGTGGTGGTTTGCCGGCATCTCTGACTCTACACGCCTCCCATCCATCCACCCCACCAACTGCCTTGCAGGCTTCCCGCAAGCTGTTGAGTGAGTGTGCTTCACTTTTAATATCGCCTTTGCAGGCGACAGACTGTAGGAGGCAGTCAAGCTGCGCCACGCACTGCTGTGGTGGCCGGGCCACCCAAACAGCAGCACACCGCCGCGGCACCTGCGCTGCCGCCTCCGCCCCGAGCCTCCCCGGGCCCCTGAACCTCCCTCAATCCCTGCGCCTCCCCGCCCCTATGCGCCTGCCCAACTTCCAACTTCCCAGCCGACATCAAGGTGGAGGTCGACGCGCTCAAGGCCGCCGCCCAGCCCCTCATCGCCGCCAAGGCCGCCGCCCCCCAGCCCCTGCTTGACGCCAAGGCCGCCGCCCTCAACGCCACCGCCGCCGCCGCCAGCTCCATCGTCCAGGTCAAGCTCGCCCTCCTCGGCGCCGCGGCCGCGCACGTCGCCGGCAAGGGCGCGCTCGTGGCCGGCCTGCTGTCGCAGAAGGCCGCGCTGCTCAACGAGACCCTGGTCAAGGGCGCGCCCCTGGACCTCCAGGCGCTGCACTCGCAGGGCAAGGGCCAGCTGCTGGGCGCCCTCGCCGCCGACGCCAAGGCCCTCGACGGCGCTCTTGCCTCGGTGAGATTTGGCGACATGAAACTGTGTGCGGGGGCCGTGGGAGCCAGGCCGCGTGCCGCCGCCGGCGGGGATCGGGTGCAGGAGGAGCACGGCGACGCCTCACGGCTGGGTCCGGGGCACGGCACCAGCTACCTTGCGATGTGCAAGCTCGCCGCAAAACCACACCTGGGCGACCCTCGTACTCCCCAACCCCGCGACGACGCAGATCCCCAAGCTCCCCTTCCCCGTGGCGAGCTCGGACGCGATCAAGGGCGCCGCTCTGCCCAAGGCCGACCTTCCGGTCTTTGGCCTCCCCAACCTGGCCCTGCCCACCCTGGCGCTCCCCGCGCTGCCTCTGCCCCAGCTGGCCCTCCCCGTGCAGGTTGGCAAGGGGCTGCTGCGGCCCAGATAGAGCACGGCCTCGAGGATCCCTGCAGGCGGCGCAGACACACCCCTGCCGCGGCCATCGTCCTTTTGGCCCTCAATCACCCAGCACATTGGCACAGTTCCATGCTCCCAGCCCTGCCAAGCCATTCCTCTTGTAGCGCTTCTTCCAACCCACCTGTTGCCACAACACAATGACAATTCACCCCTTGGCTCCCACG